ATTTTGCTGCCGTGGTTTTATTGGTGGCTTTCTTCTTGGATGTTTCTCCCAGCAAGTTGAGTTGTGACACTGAGAGAACATGAACAATTGTCATGCGAAAGGGGTAGGCATGGACGCTTTTCAGCGTGCATCATCGGGGGGGCTCCTGAACTGAGGAGATCCCAGTTACGTATGCGTATTTAAGCTTGTGCCAGCCATGGTCTTGGCACTGGGGATATGATGATAAGAATGAAAGAGTACTTGACTTCATGGCTTACACACTTTCAAAAGCACTACTGCCATGGCTCATGGCGGCATAAGGGTGAGTCTGGGTTTTTGAAGACTATGTCAATGTAGGCAGTAAGCTCTTGAAAGCTGGAAAGACTTTGGGTGTGTACCTATGGATGGACTGTGTGTCTGCCATCTGAGGACCAGCCCATCTAATGTTGGCCCAGAATGTCAGCCAGATCAACTCATGAAAGGCAGTCGAATGAAGTGTGGAAAGGCCCTTGTGTGCACTGATGGGTGGAGTTCCCCCATGGATGAACTCCACCATTTGAAGTGTTAATATAAGTGTTCAAATAAGAAGTCAGACAAAAGTCATTAATACCAAATACAAGAAGGCAAACAACTAAAGTTGTCTGAACTGTAATAGGTAAATCGAATGGTTTGAAAATCTCTGAATAGTTTGAGCTGTACAAAAGTGGAATGAATTAACTCAATTCCATTTATCATGCTAAGCTCTGGAGATTTAAAGACAAGCAAAAAAACCCAACCCTGACTTCAAGGAGCTTACAGTCTAATGTGGGGGCCGACAATATGCGAATTACTATGTACAAACAAGCTCTGTGTGTGTGTGTGTGTGTATGTGTGTGATATATACAATAAATTGAAAATAATTTTAGAGGAAAGGCATATTAATGTTAATGAGGTTTGGGAAAGGCTTCCCATAGAAGGTAGGCCTTTAGCTAAGACCTGAAGAAAGCCAGAGGAATCAGAAGTCAGAAGTGAAGGAGAAAGTACAGGGCATGGGAGACAACCAGTAAAAGTCCCTGGAATCAGGGGATGGCATGTCCAGTGTGAGGAACAGCGTGAAGGCCAGTGTTACTGGATCACAGAGGGTGTGGGCAGGAATAACTTGTAAGGACACTGAAAAGGAAGGAAGGGGACGGGTGATGAAGAACTTTAAGACCAAGCAGAGGATTTTGTACTTGATTCTGGAGGTAATTGGGAGCCACTGGAGTTGTCTGAATAGGGGCAGGGGAGTGGCCTGGTCTTTAGGAAGATCAGCTTGATAGGTGAATGGGAGGTGAACTGGAGTGCAGAGGCTTGAGGGAGGCAGAGGCCCCGGCAGCTATCGCAGTCATCCAGGTGTGAAGTGACAAGGGCCCGCACCAGCCTGCTGGAGGTAATGTAAGAGGCGAGAAGGGGACCTACGTGAAATGTCTCAAGATTAAAGAGTTTCCCCTCCCTGGAGGTCTTCCATTCTTGTAGGGGTTGGACTTCAGGGACTCTGAGCTTCTTTCCTCCATCAGAAGAGAAACCGAAAGTCGAATGTGAGAAGAAAGCAAAGGACAAGAATCAGAAGAGGTCAGGAGTAACAAATGAAGATCAAGAAAGGGACAGAGTAGAAGAGAAGGGAGGATAGCAGAGGGGTGAAAATGTCAGTGGATTATATGGAATAGAAATGAAGGATTGAGTGGGAACTCAAGCAAGAAATGCGGCAAATGAAATAGGAAAGATAAAACAGAGTTTATTTAGGCTGAAGTTAATTCACATGGCCAGGCTGCTGCCTCCATTCTTAGCTCTATTTGCTTCCTGCAAAAGGCCTAGTAAATCCTACTGAAACCCTCCTTATCCCCTGTGCTTTTGCTGGTGGCACCTACAACTCTTACAAGCCTCGGTCTCCAGCGGTTGTTTTGATAAAAGACCAAATGGAGAAGCTCTTTTTAATGTTACTCTCCAGGCATCGTGAACTCTGTGCTTTGGGGAATAGCAGTGGTTCGGAGATCCAAGATATTGTCAGCGTGGGCGTTCTCTGCCTTCCCTGTGGCAAATTGCGACCCCTTACTCTGGGCCACTCCCTCAATCCCCTCACCTTGGTAGCTAGGGTTGCTGTGGCAGAAGAAAGTAATGAATCTTTTTTGAGATTATGGAGACAGGACCTTGAATGCAAGGAACAGGACCCCTGCCCAAAGGATTTCTGGCTTGGTAGGGCCAGCCCGGGCTTGTTTTCCTCTGTGTAGCCCTTGTGCCACTAGAGGGTCTTAAGATCTTAGCCTTAGAGCTAGAAGGGACCTTAGATGCCATCAAGTCCAACACTTCCATTTTACACATAAGGAAACTGAGGCACAGAGCAGTCAAGTGACTTGACTGTGTTACATAGATAGTGTCTAAGGGTAGGATTTGAATCCAGTCCTTCCTGACTCCAAGTCTTGTGCTCTATCCACTATACCACACTGCCGATCATCAGAAGAGGACTTTAATGGAGATTGCTTTTTATGGTAAAATTTATTTCAATTCATGCTTCTCACTGAGACCTGTACTTAGTGGTATGAACTATTTGGGGTTCACCCTTCTACAGCCTACTGACATAGCCCACGCCTTATGAACGATTCCCTTCATGCTGCAGAAACTACACCGTAAGTTTGTATTGATTGTAAAAAGGAGAGAATTGATTTCCAAAGTTGAATTTTAAAAGGGCGTTGTGAGTCAGTTTGCTTTTCCCTAAACTGAATTCTTCCTCCTCTGTTTGAGCATTACCTTTGTGTAAAGAAACCATTTTTATCTCTTGGTAAAGAGTCAATTCCAAAGTCATCTAAAATATGTCAGGGGCATGTACAGGTGTGTGTACACACATATGCGCACACACACACCTCCTCTCACCTCTGGCGTTTAATCTTGCTCTCACCTTCCCCGTACAGTCGTGGCGTGGGCTGTTGCTGTATTCTAGTAAGGAGGCTGACAAAGGGTGGGTCACTGCTATTTTGCAAGAGCTGCTGTTCGTTTCCCACTTTCCCAAGGATCTTGAAAGCTACACCAGAACCCTACTTTCCAATCTATTCTTTTCTAATGCGTGTGGCTCTAGCTCTCTTGTGCTTTGAAATCTGTTTGGCTTCCAGGAAGGGGCTGGGGGTAGAGGAGAGGAAAGAGAGACGGGGGTCCCATTTTTCCTCTTCCTGAGACAGCTGGCGATTACTCAGGGTTTATGCAAATAAAGGTCAAAGCCATTTCCTTGAGAGGGTGGTAAGTGTTTCAGTCTGGTCACTGCTTTCAGAAAGGCTCCTAAAATTGCCAAGAAAGGTACCTAAGGAGTGGGCTGAAGGTAAATCTGACCTCAAGCATCATTACTAACCAAACTGGAGCACCACAACAGTTTCTATTTTGATGTTTTCATCTGGCCTGGTCGTATTCCTTGTCTCCTTCCCCACTTCTTTACAGCACTCTGGTCTGGTGAAATGAGTTTTGGATTTGGTATCAAAAGCCTCAGTTTTCCTCATCTGCTAAAGGGGGTTATAGAAATAATAATTGGCATTTACACACAAGATTTATAGATCATAGATTTAGAAGGGATCTTAGAGGTTCTCTAGACTAGCTCCATCATGTTATAGAAAACTGAGGCCTACGAAGTTCAGTGACAGCCTGCAGTTAGCCAGGTAAGTCTTCTAACTCCACATTCTGCCTTCTTTTGACTGCATCACACTGCAGATTACACAGCTCTTAAAGAATGAATTAGCAAGTATGGACTGTTGTTGTTCAGTTGTTTTAGTTGTGTCTGACTCTTCGTGGCCCCATTTGGGTTTTTCTGGCAGAGATACTGGAGTGGTTTGCCATTTCCTTCTCCAACTCATTTGACAGATGAGGAAACTGAGGCAAACGGGGTTAAGTGACACGTCCAGGATCCCACAGTGAGTGAGTGTCTGAGGCCAGATTTGAACTCAGATATTCCTGACTCCAGGACCAGAGCTCTATCCACTGAGCCACCACGCTCCCAAGTATAGATGAAGTGTCTCCTGTGTTAATGTGTTAGGGACAAATTGCAAGGAATGTGACTAGAACCAGAAAACAGCAGATTGTCCTGCCCTTTTTAGTAGGAAGGTTGGGCTTGATTTGATTTGAGGACTGTTCTGAGGCCTTTTTATGTAATTGGTATGGGTAAGATGATACAGTTTAGGATTGGAAGGGATTATTAGCCTCACTCTACAGATGAGAAAACTGATTTATAGAAAGGTGAAGCGATGTCCCCAGGAGGTAACACATGTAGAAAGCGGCAGAGCTGGAATCCACTTTGAAGACTTCTGATAGTAAATGATACAGGCAGGACCTCGTCCCTCCGAGAGAAGCCTCATCGACCTTAGCGAAACGGCGCTGGATCCGGCCTGTTGACTCATGCAGTTTCGTGGGCCGACACAGCAGAGAGCACCTGTGCCTTCTCCTGGCTTCATAGGGTACTTAAGTTAAGGGGGGGTTGTTTAGTAAGTCAGATGCTGGTCCTTTTCAGACACCACCGCTTTCCATGACAAATCTCCAACTCTCTGCAGCCTATTTAGGTCTCTTGCTGACATCTGCCACACGGTGCTGTTGAACTCCCCCAGCAATCAACATTGCTTTCCTTTGCAAAAACAATTCCCCCAAATGGCAGTAAAGGAGGCAAAGTAGAAGCTAATTTTATAGGGAAGAGAGATACCCAGATAAATATAATCAGATAACAGTGCTTCTCTTCAAAAACGTTTCTTTTTCTATTTGCTTTTCGTGTCCACTTTTTTTCGTATTGCGAACATTTCCCCCTTTGAGTAATGTGGTTTTGTCTGAGCAATCCTTGAAAGAACCAATTGGTCCTGGAGTTCCTTGTGCATATTAAAACTGTCGATCTCCCTGTCCTCTGGAAGAAATCTTCTCCATGCATTTAATAATCAAGTTCATCTTTAATTAATGTAGCATTACCTTGCCACAACGGTGAATTCTCTTGTGTTTTCTGATTGCCCTTGAGGTTGAAGCTGGGTCTGTGCATTGATTTCTAGGTACAAGGAGTGTCACCAGATCAGCCCTAGTCTTGCTGCAGGGACCAAGCCATCTTAACTACACTGTGTCTGAAACCAAGATGAAACTCATGAGAGAGTAAGTAGTGTGTCGCCATGTTGGATATTTGGGAGGTAGCCCAAGTTACAACAAATATGAGACAATCTTGCGATGTTATTCTAACAAATGCATTTCTAAAAGAGGGGATTTGCACAAGTACAGATATCTATATTTGCCTAAATGGAAGTTGAATTGGTTTAGTAAATAAAAAAAATCTGTCAAGAAGTCCTAAACCTGCCATGTCTAAATCCCTTTTTGGAGTCACTGGAGGACAGAGATACCCAATGCCTACCTCTAATCTTTCCTGTCTGACTCCACATATTTGTCTCTTGAGTTTTTTCTGCTTCATGTTGTGTTTTTGAGTAAGTGAATACGTGTGAGCTAGTCTTGGCACAAGAATCTAATTTTTGTGTTAATGAGTTTGTCATTCTTTGTTGTCATCTGGAACAGTGGTCTCCCAAATTGGGGTTGGGATCAATAGCCTGACCCCAAGGAGTATATGATCAACCAGTTGAAGGGTAGGAATATGGTTTCATGTCATTTTTCCTGAAAAAATGACTGTGGGACTTGTCTCAAACACAACCCCACGTATTCTTATCTCCCACTGCTCTTCTACTCTGTCCCCTTCCTCAGAAATCAGGCGCCCACCATCCTATCCTGTGAGTCCATGTAGGCCCATGAGGCAGTTATAAGGTAACCAAATGCTCAGGCCTCTATAGGCAGCAGCTTTGTGGGTGCCATTGAGAAAATTCCTCCCTCCTCCTCACTAGTATAGCTATCTCCCTTCCCCCAGATCATCTTCTGGCTGCAGCAGGCCATCATTTGTATGTGGGCTCTGATTTTTGGGTCAGTGGCTAAGGAAGAAGAGCCCTTCTCCTCTCCTTTTCTGGAGGTAGGGGGGATAGAATGAGTCTTAAGGGATAAGCAGACTTAGATGAGTTGTGTTTTACATCCTAGACCTCATTAGGTTGTCCCCTCACAGAACTTCCACTTTTCTCAAGCATCTTTATTTCTGTTGAGGGCTCCATCATCCTTCTAGTCCTTCAGATTCACCACATCGGTGTCCTCTTCAGTTCCTCCTTCTCACTTACCCCATGTGTGCTATCAGTTGCCAAGTATTGTTGTTTCTACTTCTATAGCATTTCTCACATCTGTCTTCCTCCTCTCTTTACTCGCAGAGCCACCTTCTTGGCCCTCATCCCCTCTTTCTTGGACGACTACAACAGCCTCATATTTAATCTCCCTGCCTCAAGGCTGCCCCCTCTCCATGCTGTCCTCCATACTTGTCAAGGTGATTTTCCTAAAGCACAAGCCTAATTATCTCATTCCTCTGCTCAATAAACTCCTGTTGACTCTAGGATCAAATATTATTTCAACTGGATGTCATCCTTTTTTAATTCTATTTTTGTACTTTATAACTTACATAATAATGCCTGTACCTGTATAGAACTTACAAATAAGAAACTAAATACATATTGGGAAGCGTGCTCAAAATTTCTTTTTCTAGTACGGTTGTGTGGTCAAAATAATTTGGAGGCCCCTGATCGAGAGAAAACTTTGAAAGCCGAACAAGACAAAAGTTATTTTCTAATCCAATACTGATTAATGTAATTAGCTGCTTCGTATGATCAGATCCTTTATGACCTAATACTGGTGCAGGGGAAAGAGTCTGACATTTAGAATCCAAAGAGCCTGAGTTCAAATCCCAACACTTCTACTTAACATGTGTATGACCGCGGACAAACCCCAAGCTCTCTAGGCCTCAGTTTCCCCTCTGTAAAGTGAAGAGGTCGGACTGGGGAAGCTCTGGTATCACCCTTCTGGCTCTCAATCAGAGACCTTATGAGAGAGACAGGTAATACCAAATATTTCAAAGTGTAAATTCAGAATGACTTCAATAATCTTTTCTAACACCAATGCTGTTTGTTAGTTGGAGATCATTGTTAAAATAAAATAAAGATTTGCCAGTCTCCTGATTTGTGAATCTCCAGAAGGGAGAAATGGGAGATGATTCCCTTTTTTGGTTGGTCTATCGAATCATCATCAGATATATTGTCTTACTAAGTTTTCATTACTTTGGCCAAGTGCATGGCAGCCCATTTTCTGCTGTATTGTGAATGTCATACATAAGTACAGCTGAAATCCATCTGACAATATAAATTATCACAGTGCTTTGTATATCAGGTAGCATTTGTTTGTCGATGGTCCTTTCCCCTAATCATTCTGCAAATTTGCTAGTTGGTTTTTAATATGAATTAACAAGGTTTGGGACCTACTAGTACTAGGGGAGTTGTGAAATATAAAAGCAGAAGACTCACCATCCTATGATGTTTTCCTTCCTATTACAGAATCTGCCTGTTTTTGCCAAAATGATTCACACATGGCAATGGAAATTTTCCTCTAGTTATCACACTGGATGAAATTTAATAGGGATGAGTGCAAAGTTTTACACTTGCGGTAAAAAAAAAAAATCAGTCTCGCAAGTACAAAATGGAAAAGGTGGTTAGCAATTTGTCTGAAAAGCTCCGGGGGTGTTAGTGGATTACAGGCTCAGTTTGGCAAAGGAGACTGGATAGGCACATGATGGGCATGAGCAGGCCACAGCATATTACCAAGAAAGAATTACTCACAAGAAACAGCATAAAGAATACTATCAGGAACAAATATGACTGGAAAGGTAGTGGGCCAGTCTTATAGTGTGAGAGATGACTTTTCACTGACTGGCTGACAAGCAGCCTTTATGGGAGACCATGGATAAGATTATGAAAGATGACAAACCACAGGTGGGTTGTGATCCCTTCCTCTGGAGGAAGTCACTATGTCAGTGAGATTATACATCCATTAAAAGTGTCGGAGAAGAAATTGGGTGTTCCTTTGGAATAGAATAACTGAAGGAAACATGAAAGTATTGTGATATTGAATGTAAAGGACTAAACTCTCCAATAAAATGAAAAGAAATGTTACAAAATACTTTAAAAACCAGAATATGCTGCATATAGGAAACTTTTCATCCAGATTAAGAATATGTATGTATATATGTATATATATAGTATATATGCATATATGTATGTAATATATACGTATATTTGTGTGTATATGTTTGTGTGTGTGTGTGTGTGTGTGTATGTGTGTGTGTGTGTATTTTCCTTGATGGCTTTGTGAATTTTTTTGTCTTTTTTTTTTCTAATTTTAGCGAAACTGGATTGGAAACCATAAGGAAAGGTCATTGACAACAGTATAGAGTAGCTAAATGAAGAAGGGCTCCCCTAGCTCTTGGATTTCATAATTCAGTAACATATGGATTCCAAGTGCATGTTTCTTAATATTTTCTTGATAGCTGCACTTTAGCTGGCATAAAATTAAATCTAGCAAAGAATAATACCTTCAAGTATGACAGTGAAGAACAGAGATAATGCAAGGACTTTGATTTTACAGAATTTTGATAAAAGAAACCAAACTTGGATTCTCAGTGGTCAGCTCATGGTCATCAAGAGCTGAAGACCTGCACCTTCTCCCTTGGGTAGACCTCTTTGGACTTCTGCCTTATGGCAGCCAAGGGATACAGTGTGAAGAGTGCTGGGCTTGTAGGCAGGAAGACCTGACTTCAAATTCTGCCTCATATAGTTATGAGCTATGTGACCCTAGCCATCCTGAGCCCTGAGGCGCCCTTAGCCTCGGCTTCCCCATCTCTAAAATGGGGATAATACCTATCTCACGGGGAAGTTTTGGGGCTCAACTGAAATACCATGTAAAGTACTTTGTAACTTCATAAATGCTAGTGATTGTTGTTGTTATTAATATAATTATTATTACCCTTCCATGTCCATAGTTGGGGTACACAGCCAGAGACTTTCATTCCCTTTACAATTGTTATCACAATTTTTCAGATCATTGTTCTTCGCTTATAAATTATATCACCCCAAATGAATCCAATTACACCTCTTAACATGAAAAGCACCTGGAGAATTTCTCTCTGACCTGGAGAAGAGGCTGGAAATTGCTCTTCTCACCTTTGGTCCTGATTGTGTTCATTCAGACTGTGATTAGCTGCTCTACAAGAAATGAATCAGAATGCTTAATTAATCCCATTTTCTCAAAGAGGTCACCATCAGACTGTTCTCCCTCCGTCCTCCTTTCCTTTAGAGCTCTCCTGCTCACAAGAGCACAGATGATGATGAGGACAGAATTAATGCACTTTAGGATTCATCATCTTTGGGGGAAGCAGGACAAAATGAAACTCTTGGTATTTAAAAGCAACAACAACAATTATGGGAGCTCTGAGTCTTCAGTCTGAGTGGAGTATATTTATAGGTTTCCAAGTGGCCCCCCTAGAGCCCTCCGTGTCATACTCTTGTCTCACTTCCTAAATTCCTGATCCCCAATGGGGAGGGAAATGCAACACTTTCCCCGGCCTGGTTCAGATATGTGATTGTCAGCAAACCACCTCCTCACCCTATTCCTGATGAATGATATTAACACTTTGGAGAAATAAAAAAAGAGCTTTCTCATAAAAAGGAGGACCCCTGTTCTCCAGCCTCCCTTCTACAAAGTTAAGACCTTGACCTCGGTGCCTCTGTTGACACTGTATGTAGGGGACCCAGAGGAATGATGAAACCATAGAGAGTAACTGAAGCTGGTGCAGAAGAATCCCACTACTGTTGAAGCATGCAGAAATGTCATTTAGCTGGGAAATTTAAGGAGAAAGGGGAGTGGATACTATTGCTGGTTGGATGAAATAGATTTAATGCCTTTGGGCAGAATAAGACAGAGGAACATAGCTGTAGCTGTGTGTATAACCCAGAGAATCTTTCCTCCCATAAGTGTTTTATCTGCTGATCTCCTGAAAGGACATCTAGAGAGAAATTGCGGAACCTCTGGGAATCTTGGGCAGCGTGACTGTTCATGGTACCTACCCTGGAGTGTAGGGGATTAATTCATCAGAAGGGCAAGTCTGTGATGACACAGTAATTCAAATACAGACGAAAGGTGATTTATCTGATTTATTTGGAGCTAAACACAAAATAGCTGATTTAGCAAGA